TTATTATTTTTATTTCTTTTGGAGCGATTGTCGCGTAAAACAAAAATCACGTGCTCACAATAAGAATAAAAAAATATCCAAAAAACTCATGTTTTTATTTAAGAAATCGTGATCATACTTCTAAGAGAAAGGAACTGAATTTTGCCTCATAAGAGAATATGGATTAAATTTCAACTTTAAAAAAGAAAACTTTCTTTATTTACATTTGCAAATCCCAATATGATCTCAATTTTTAAGTTATAAGTTAGTTAGAGTAAGGAATAAAACATTTATCAATCTAATCTTACTAACTATTTCAAACTATCTCACTGTGGGCGGGCAAATGAATAGGAAAATAATAAAATCCTAATCTTGTAAAAACTAAAGAATCAGTGCAAAAAAAAAACAAATAGAAAAGACTAAAAATCTAAACAATTGATTCTTTAAAGTATAAAACTAAAAATCTTAACTGAAGAATTAAGATGAGAAATTCAAAAAAGTTTAAAACTTACTCTAAGGATTAAGGTTTAAAGATGAAAAGTAACTGCCGAGAGAGTTGAGAAATGAAACCATAAGGTGACTTTATATACTTAGTGAGTAAAATAATAATTTTGTTAAAATTTATTGGGCTATCGGTTAAACCATTAATAAAATTGGGTAAACCGAGACCCGAATCGATAACCCAATAGTCAAATAACATTAAACCGTTATCGAACCATTTACCCAATAACCGATATCGATAACCCAATAGCATTTTATCGGTTCGGGCTATCGGTTATACCCGATATATGCCCAGCCCTAGTCGACCGAACACCCTTCTTCGAAAAACTATTCTGCGTATATAGAAATTTATATTGTGTATATAGGTCAAACATATTTTATATATATATATATTAAATTTTGAACATACTTCGCGAAGTTTCTGGTTTTGCTATTGTTTATGACAAAGCCCTCACTATAGTGGAAGAACTTGGTTGGGCCTTGCTCGCATTCACACTCAAGATCTCGCATTTGCGAGAGTCAACTAAGTTGACTATCCCTTGCTATCGCGACCTGTCCTTCGCCATCACGATGGCCAACCCGTAACCAACCAAAGGCGCAATCGCGACCTAGTACCATTAAGCACATTTTCACCAACTATTTTCAAATGAAATATTTACTCACATTATAAATTTATTTACTCATACTAGACATGTTATCACTTTCAAATTTTAAATTTAAACTTGACCGGAGAACGCGTTTAAACTTTATAGGTCTCAACCTAAATCATACCGGTAAGTCATAAATTATAATTCCAACCTATAGGAATAAAAATTTCACAAAACAAGAGGTTTTAGTTTAGGGTTTTAGGCCAGGAAGATGCTTAAGCTTGGAATTTAAAAGTAGTTTTTAGTTTCTAAAAAGGCTTTCTAATGCATTTTTCTTTTCTATACTTGCATCTCTTTTTTGGTAAGTACTTAATAGTCGACTGCAAATGAAGGGGAAAAAAAACTTAGTCGATTGCAAATGTTCTAGATCTTTCTGGATTTTTATGCCTTCATCTTCCCGTCATTTCTACATAACATCTTCAATCTGTTGTTCCTCCATCTTCGTCCCTTATCTTCCGTCTGCATAAACCCACCAAAAACCCTATCATATATGTTAAAATCGAAAGGTACCCATTAATTTTCTCCGTCGCTGTATAGCTGGGACAAATTCACAACTTCAGGTACAGAATCAACTCAATTTTTAGTACCCTCTACATTCTCTTTTTATTATTAACTGTCATTTTTTTCCTTTTTTTGGTGTTGTATGCAAGTGTCAGAATTAGTCCGTAAATGGGCAAAAGAATCATTTTTTAAAGTTTGGGAGTAATTATGACCCCGAATAGAATGATTTGGATACAGATAATTCATATGGTGGGTTCTAACTAATTTGGAATTGAGACTTAGTTGATTGATTTACTTTTATGGTGATTCCAGGGGAAATTTTGTGGGTTTTGGCTGATTAAGCTTTGTCTTTAGCTGATGGCTTTCCCATAAAACCTCCTCATAGAGCTATGGTAGTATCTAGTATGGCATAACTATTGTGAGTTTGTGCTAGAGCTAGGTTTAAAATCTGGATTCTGTAAAAGCCAAAACGGGATGTGATAAGTTCACTACCCTGTTTTGGTTGCCTTCAAGGGGCTATCTTGCTAAAGAAATTTTCCTTCCTAGGCAGATCACAGATGAGTTTTCATGGGTTTTTTTTCCAGTGTCCTGTAAACTAGTTTAACACAGCATTTTCTATCGAATCAGCATTCCCTTTTTAATGTCTTTGGTGTTTATTTGCATCTTTTAGTCGGTTCGACTTTCACGTTTACACTTCTATGTCCTAGTTCCACATGCTTTGATGTTTTCAGAGTTGAAAAGTGAACAAGGATTAATATTATTAGTTTATGACGTATGACTGTAAATCAAACTGGTTGTCCAATCTAATTTTGTATTATAGAAAGAAAAAAAAAGGTAGTTTTTTCACCCTTTTATATAATCTAATAGAGTTGGTGTAAAAGGATGACTCCCAAATGTTGTCCTGGGAATATGTAAATATAATTTTGTACTTTAGAAAAAAGAAGAAGAGGTAGTTTGTCCACTATTTAGTTAATCTAATAGAGTTGGTGCAAGAGGATTGCTCCCAAGTGTTCTCATAGGTATATTTACACGCACCTGTTTATGCCAAACTAAACAATTTAACTTTTGGAGTCAAATATTAAAGTGAGAATATATATCACTTAATCATGGCGTAGTAATCAGTGTTGTCAAAGGCTCATTTAAGGCGCGCATAAGCCCTGAAGCTTAGAAAAGCTAAAGGAGGGCGTTTCGCCTCGCTTAAGCTGGGCTTCGGTATAAGGCAAGGCACTAAGACATGCGCCTCGTTGCCCATGAGTTTTATCGGGAATCAAGTGGCAGTAAACAACAAATTTAATCAGAAAATAAATGTTTAGCTGTAAAGAAAAACATTATAAATGAATTTGTTACTTTGTTCTTGAATTACATATATATTTTATTTTCTCCCGTAGTTGCGCTTTTTTCCCCACATGTGGGATTTCACTGAGTTTTTTCTGTTGTTGTTGTTGTAGTTGCGCCTTTTTTTTTTTTTACTAAATCCACACTTTGTGGTTTAAAACCCTAATAGACCTATAATGCTTTTTAGAGCTTTTTGCCTTTGATAACACTGGTAGTAATAAAAGCTTATATGCAAGACACATGTTGCATCAATTAGTTTGGTGTAAACATCGTGTGTGGTTAAGTTTTCTTTCTGTGTTTTCCAGTTATGTTCTTTTATATGCTTTCTGATATTGCTTACTGTGATTGATCTTAGATTGCTCTCTAATTTCCTTTCTTGCAGTCTTTGACTTATGTTCTTAAAGTAAGATTAGGCCGTGAAGCAGTATCAGATGCTTCTTCTAGGGCTGGTTTTAAGAATATATGAGCTTTTCTCTTTTCAATCTCAAAGGTTGTGAGCAAGTATGACTTAATTTTATTCAGCGTTCGCAAAGTAGCAACTTTGAATTAGTTTATGATCTTTACCTAAAACTAAAGTCTAGACAATTCTCTGGCAAGTTCAAACTTCTTATGGCTGTTTGAGTTTGAACCAATTCGAAACGTCTGCTTTTGGTTGGTCTATGTTCTAAGCGAGTTCTTTTCTTCTTCTCCTTAGGAAAGAGGCGCAAGAGATAAAGTAACTAACAATGTTTGGAGTAGTGTTCCCAAACCGAAGCTTCCCTATGGATATCTCCACCTTTGCTCAAATTGACACCACCCATTGGGTTCTGGACATGAACACCTTTGTTGGTAAGTTCCAACACACTCAATCAAAGACAGTTTATGCTTTTTCACCAGCCTGACAGTTCTAACGTGACGCGTGCAGGGGAAGCATACGATTCAATTCGTGAAGTCTGCATATTCCTCATCAACAACTTCACACTGCCACCAGACAAGGCCCTCGCTGTGTATATCCAATCCCCTGGCTCACCTTTCCTCTTTTGTGGTGCAGTCACGTTGACGCGACCCTCTGCCGTGCTGTCACTCCCTTGGCCAGAGCCCGGTGGCCAACTGCAGCTCACTGCCGATGCAACTCCAGTCTCTGCCAAGATAGGTGTCTCAGTTGAGGACCTTGCAACACTTCCCTCCCTTGATGTCACCGCAGAGAAGAAAATCGAGAGGTTGGCACTGAAAGTTGGTGAAAACTTGTTCAATTTTATGCAGTCGTTTTGTGGGGTGGATGGCAGTAAGCTGGTGGTGCCTATGGATATATTGGATCGTTGGTTCAAGAAATTCCAGGAACGAGCAAAGCGAGATCCAGAATATTTGAAGGGCTTCGCGTTGTAGTTCGGCTCAGAAGTATATTTCATGTTTGAAGGTTCCACATGAGAATTTACTGAGTTGATTGTTGTAGGATTGTGATATGTTATTTTCAGTATTTGGTTAACTTTGGGCGGCAACCACTGTCTAATGTTGGTTCTTGGAAAAGTGAGTCAATCTTTTAGCATTTGAGTTACATTTGAAGGGTGTAATGCAGTTTCTTCTCTTTGTTGTACTGATTATGTTCAGAAAGTTTTCCCGTAAATTGAGTTCCAAAGGGAAGAGAAAGAAAAAGAGCAGCAAGGAGGTGGAACGTCGGAAATTTGGGAAAATCCTTTTTTCTAATGAAGTGTACTCACTCTGTTCCATTTTATGTTGCACTAGGAGCAGGGATATTATCTTCTTTATTATCTGTTCCAAAACAAATAATACATTATGATATTTGAAAATAACTTAATTCTATATATCTCATTTTATCTTTAATGATATGCTTTTATAACCACAAAAAACTCATGACTAAGATTATAAATTTACCAACAAAAACAAAAAATAAAAATCTTCGTTGGCCTATTCACACCACTAAATTTTCTCTTGCAACTTTATGACAATACTAATTTCGGGATAAAATTTGAGATTGTAATTGATAAAATTTGAGATTGTAATTTATTCTATGTTGGGTCTGAGTATTAACTAATAACGATACACATTTTGTCCTAAATATTATACCAAAATGGTAGTATTAGGTGTCCCATGTGGAATTGTGATAGCTAAGCTCATGTGGCAGAGTTAAAAATTTTATTAAGGGGATCAAATATAAAAAGGTAAACCCGCGAATAAGCCAAGGATGTCAATATGTAGTTGTGTGTGTATATCAGAAAATACTTATCTAGTTATGCAGTGTTATTTTTTAATGAAGAAGAGTCGGTTAACACCCTTTGAATACAGACGGTTCCGCCACTACGCCGATCTATAAGATATTCTTATCTATCCTACCATTGAACCTGATGACTCCTCAGTATATTCAAGTCCAGTTTCTTCGTTTCATTTTTAATTTTTTCAGATTCAAAATTAAATTATTGGCAAACAGTTGAGAGAATAATAATAGTTCTCAAATTCAAAACTTGTGAGCTCCTATTTCAGATTTTCAATTTACCTTTTAGTTCTCACTTCTCACTTAGTGATTTAGTCACACTGCAAGAGCACTTTCTATTTTGTCAGTGCTTGAAACAATTTTATCTTTTATATTATTCTAATCTCTCTAATCTTTAGAGTCAATAATTTTGTATGAACTTAATCACTTGTTGTTGTTATTCTTCGATTTACTCTAATTGGATTAGGTTGATTTTTAAGTATTTTTTGAAGGGCATTTTTAAGTTTCGTTGAAAGCATAACTAGTTATTTCCATTTATGAAGTCTTTGTCGAAATTACATATACTTTGTTGGTAGAATTTGCAAAATTTCTCATCGCCTAATCAAACTACTTTAACAAATTATCTCTTAGTGTCTATTTGTGAAAAGTAGTTTCATTTTTAGTAAGTAAAACTGAACTCACTTTATGGGTGTATATAGGTTGGGTTGGTTCGGATTTTTCAATTACTAAACCAAACCAATAGTGTCAGGTTTTTAAATCTATAAACCAAACCAAACCAATAAAGTCGGGGTTTTCAATCTCGGTTTTTCTCGGATTTTTTGATTTTTTTCGGATTTTCGGGGTTTTTTCCCCGATAAAGCCTTCATAGCACAAACTATGTAACTTGTCCTACAAATATTTCTTTAGTCCTAGTAGAATACAACTATATAATGTATTTTCCAAGAAAATAACACAATAATATGAGATGAGTCATAGCATTGTACTAAAATATTAAAAAACAAAGATAATAAAATCGCATAAAGAAAATATTACTACTTAATACGCCATAATAAAACTTAACATACTCTGAAAATACTATATAGGTCATGTTAAAATAAATATAGCTAATAAGTACTATTAGTTCATAACTTAGCACTAAAGAAAAAGATAAACTAGGTTATGCATTTTCATTATAAACCAATACAAAAAAAAAAAAAAAAAAAAAAGATGTCTTACACTATTGTAATTCCTAGTGTTCAATTGAATTTCCTTTATTAACATTAAAGGTGTTAACCGAACGGGCTGGTCCGGGCTGGACATGAAAAATAGCCCGTCCGATTATTGTTCTGGGCTGGTTAGTGGGTTGGGGTTCTGGGCTGGTAGTGGGCTGGGATTTTCCGGATTTTGGTGGGCTCGTCCGATTTCGGGCTTAACGGGTCCGGACCGGGTTGGATTATTTTTTTTTAGTATATTTTGTTTTTCTTATTCAATGTTATTGATACTTAAGTGTTTGCAAACTTTTACGGCTTAGAATGAAGTTTAAAGTTTTAAATATGAAATTTGAATTTTAAAATTTTAAAATTTAAATTTGAAAGTAAGTTGCTACAAAAAATTATTTAATAAGACCAATAGGCAATATGTAAGGATCAAATTTTGAAGGCTTTCGTTTTATATTTTTATTGAATAAATAATACTTCAAATTAATTTGCAAGTTTTATTTTGATTTTTTTTAAAAAATTTTGAACTTGCAAATTAAAAGTTTACAACAATTATAAAAAATAAGAAAGAGTACATCACATGATTTGCATCATTTTTGTAACTTCATCCATGTCAACATGAGGTTATTGGTTTCCGGCATTGCTTGAATCGGAACTATAAACCATTATATCTCCAATTTCTTGGTCCTCCGCTTCATCTACCTCTTCACGCCCTTAATTTAACCCTTCTGATATTATCCAATCTCTGAAGCACACTAGAATTTTCAAAGCGTTGATGTCAATAACTGACGGGTATCTCCTAGTTGCTGCTTTGCTTGGCTACATGTGCTTTCTGATGCGACTGTTGAAATCGGCACATTTAGCACGCCTCGAGCCATGGTTGAAAGAACAGGAAAATGATTTGATTTGCTCCTCCACCAATCCAGCGATAGAAATTCCTTTGTGTGGGTCTTTGGTGACTTTTGCAAGTAGAATTGAAGTTCATCAATATTCCTGCTACTGGTTTGTTGATGCTCTCCTAGTGTAGACCAAATCAAATAATCTTCAACACCATCATTATCCTCCAAAGCACCGGTCCCAGATGTTGAAATTGAACTTGATGGAATATTTGTATCTACAGCAGCAGAAGCATCAACAGTGTTAGCATAATAATTATATAAAGATCGTAAATGTTTGTGTAGATCAGAAATACAAGTTTCAATATTATGGATTTCAATTGGTCCAATATCCAAATAAACATATAAAGCAGTGATTAATTGACGACAAGTGGCCATTTTGATAAAAGGGTTTAAAATAGCACCAATTAGGTAAATAGTGAAATTGGGTAAAGATATTTTTTAAATTTATCTAGCATAGATTCAACAACAAAAGCATTTTACAACATGAAATGCTTCTTCTTCAAATTAAGGAGTAAAAGAGAAATTTTAGCAATATGAACTAAACCATTTGCAATAGTAACTCCAGAAAACTCAAGTGAGCGACATAAAATTTTACAACATCTTCAATGAAATCCTAAGTTCTAGATTTTAACAATTTGTGGTTCTAGATGTTAACAATTGGTTAGGATCAGTACAATGAGAATTAGAAACTTCAGTTATAGGCATTTCATATTTATAACAACATCTTAAGTATAAATAAGTATAATTCCACCTAGTAACTTGTGACAACCCGGCCGGTCGTCTTAAGAATTTATGCCCTGATCCCCTATTAACTGCTTTTCCCAAGTTTATTTATTCTAATTTGATTTGCCGGGATGTTTGGTTTTGAGTTTCGGAGAGTTTTGGGACACTTAGTCCCTAAATGAGTGCTTAAGTGTTGGAGAGTTGACTGTAGTCGGAACAGTATGAAGACGGTCTCGAAATGGAAATCTGATGGTTCTGTTAGCTCCGTTGGGTGATTTTGGGCTTAGGGGTGTGTTCGGATTGAGTTTTGGAGGTCCGTAGTTAATTTAGGCTTGAAATGCCGAAAGTTAAATTTTTGAAGTTTCCGGTTCGATAGCGAGATTTTGATCCGAGGGTCAAAATGAAATTCCAGAAGTTGGAGTATCTCTGTAGTGTTGAATGTGACATGTGTGCAAAATTTCAGGTCATTCAGACGAGGTTTGATAGACTTTTTGATCAAGAGCGTATTTTTAGAGTTTTTAGAATTCTTAGGCTTGAATCTGATGAGAAATAGGTGTTTTGATGTTGTTTTGTGCGTTCCGAAGGTTGGAACAAGTTTGAATGAGGTTATAGGATATGTTGGTATGTTTGGTTGAGGTCCCGGGGGCCTCGGATGAGTTTCGGGTGGTTAACCGGACCATTTCTTGATGTTTGAAGTTGCAGAAAAACTGTTGGTGTGTTGCAGACCAGTTGTTCTTCACGTTCGCGACTGGCTATCGCGTTTGTGAGCACGTGATTTTTGTTTCACACGACAATCACTCCAAAAAGAAATAAAAAAAAACAAA